ACCAGACCCACCATCATCTTCTACCGCCCCTGGAAGAAGTTACCCCCACAATCCCTAACCACTGCCTTGGAGTCCTCTGAACTCCTCTCCCTCTGGCCTTCATCCCTCACTGAACCCTCTTCTGCTCTCACCCTCCTCCACAGCACCCTCTCCTCCACACTCGAAACTCTTGCCCCCATCACCTCCTGTACTGTCTCTTACTCTCACTCCTCCCCCTGGTTCACCACCCACCTCCGCTCACTGAAGAGCCAGGTGTGGGCTGCTGAACGCACCTGCCTCAAATCTGGCCTAACAGTCCACCGGCAAATCTGGCTGGACCTCCTCAAAATCGAACCCCTCCAGTCGGCTTCCATGCTGCCCATAGCATGGAAACTGCCCTGGTCAAGGTCACCAATGACATCTTGACCATCTGCGACCAGGGCTCCCTCTGCCTCCTCGTCCTCCTCGACCGATCAGCCGCATTCGATACGGTCGACCACTCTATCCTCTTCCACCGCTTGTCCTCCCACCTCAACCTTCAAGGCCCTGTCCTTGAGTGGTTTAGGTCGTACCTCTCCCACCGTCTTCATTTTGTCTCTGCAAATGGCTTCTCCTCCACCCCCCGCACTGTCTCGTGCGGTGTCCTTCAGGGCTCTGTCCTCGGTCCCCTCCTCTTCACCCTCTATATGCTCCCCCTGTGGTGACATCATCCGACATCATGGGGTTAACTTCCACACGTATGCGGATGACACCCAACTCTACCTTTCTTCCTCTACCCTCAACTCCACGACCCCCGATGTCCTGACAGCTGTCTGTCCGACATCGAGTCCTGGACGAGAGACAACTTTCTTCAGCTCAACGTGCGCAAAACTGAGGCCCTCCTGATTGGCTCCATCAGCGCCTCCGCACCTCAGGCGCTGACAGCATCAGCTCCGCACTCTCCACCTCTCAAAGCCATCAGGAACCTCGGGGTTCTGTTCGACCCTGAGCTGTCCTTTCTCCCTCATATCTGCGCCACAACTGGCACCGCCTTCCATCACCTCCGGAATGTCGCCAGAGACTACGGCACTACCTCACCCCTCACGCGGCTGAAACTCTGGTCCACACCTTTATCACCTCAAGGCTGGACTATGGGAACTCTCTCCTCGTCGGCCTTCCCGGCCCTCCCTCCACACTGCAGGTCATTCAGAACTCTGCAGCTCGTGTACTGTCCCGCACCAGACACCGCGACCACATCACTCCCACCCTCACCCTCGCCCTCGCCCTCGCTCGCCTCCACTGCTCCCCATCCCCCAGAGGATTGAATTCAAGATCCTCATCTTCACCTACAAGGCCATTCACGGCCTCGCTCCCTCCTACCTCTCCGACCTACTATCCCCCTACCTACCTGCCCGTACCCTCCGTTCCTCCGGCTCCGGTCTGCTCCACATCCCCCGCCCCAACCGCCCTACCATCGGTGGCCTTCAGCCTCTCAGCCCCGAGGCTCTGGAACTCCATCCCCAGTGTCTTCGCCGCTTCCTCCCTTTCCTCCTTCAAGGCCGGTCTCAAGACCTTTCTCTTTGACCTTCAGCCTTCAGCTCCTCTCTCGACTCTCTACCCCTCCTCACTCCCTCCCTTCCCTCCCCTCACCCTGACCATTTCCCCCCCTCCTCGCTCCCTCCCTTCCCTCCCCTCACCCTGACCATTTCCCCAATGCTCGGGTCCCGACCCAATTGTCCAACGCCTTGGGACGTCCTCCCAATGTGAAAGGCGCTCTATAAATGCAATCTTGTTGTTGTTGTTTACAGTATATTCTGTGAAGCGCTTTGAGACATCTCGAAGACGTGATAAGGCTTTATATCAAATGCGAGGATTATTATTCTGCCATTACCATCGTTGGCCTGTGGGGACGCTGCAAACCGCCTGCTGGTTAATTATATAACAATGATTCTTGTATTGATACATCGCCTTATCACGTCTTCTCGGCGTCTCAAAGCGCTTCACAGGATTCACTGTGAAGTGAATTGACTGTATATTTGTGGGTAAAATGCGGCAGCCAATTGTACACAGCAGTGTCCCACAAACAGTTGTGGGTTGAAGTGACCAAATTATTATTGTTTTTTTTTCTTGAGGGATTATTATCAGGTGTGTGGAGTAAGGAAACTTTCCCAAGGTTTTGCCCGGCCGGGAATTGAACCCAGATCTCTCGCTTGCTAGGCGAGTGCTCTCATCACTGAGCTACAGGACACCTATAACTTCTCCTCTGTCCCCACAGATGAGCGAGCGTGAGGTGCACTTTGACGTGGAGACGGCCATCAGGGTGCTGCGCCAGGCAGGTTACTACCAGCATGCGCTCTACCTAGCAGAGAGACATCTACATCATCAGTGGTACCTGAAAATACAGCTGGAGGACATCAAGGTAACCGCCTGCCTCTCCCTTTCCCTCTCCCCCCCCCATCTCAGCCTCTCAGCCCTTCACCTTCTCACCCACTCCCCCTCTCATCCTCTCCTCCTGACGTATAAGGCACTGTGTAAATGTCATTTGTTGTTGTTGATTCAGATAACAGAGAATTACACTGAGAAACCCAGAGCTGTGCTTCCCGCCCGCTAGCTTCTACCTTAGCGGCCGCTTTTCATTCTATGCTCGCAATCATTTAACTCTTGGGTGTTAGATTCAGACCTGGTAGCGAGTCCTGTAGCTCAGTGGTTAGAGCGCTCATCTCACAAGCGAGAGTACCCAGGTTCAATTCCCAGGCAGGGAACGTTGGGCAAATTTCCTTACTCCACATACCTAGCAGTCAGTAGGAAACTGATTGGTGAATCGCTTTTCCAGAGTGAGTAATTCTTCTAAAACATAATAATTTGGTCACTCAATTCACGACTGTCGGTGAGACACTGCTGTGTTCAATTAGCCGCCGCCTTTCGCCCACAAAATATACAGCAACGCCTTCAAAGCCATGGCCTAGGCTCCTCTCCTACCTCTCCTTACCCCCTACCAGCATGCCCGTGCTTTTGATCTTGATTTGTCAATTCACTTTACAGCGTATCCTGTGAAGCGCTTTGAGACGTCTTGAAGATGTAACCAGGCACTGTATCAAATGCAAGGATTATTATTGTTATAATTATAGAATTACCAGGAAGCTCTGCACTACATCGGGAAGCTGCCCTTTGAGCAGGCCGAGAGCAACATGAAGAAATACGGGAAAACCCTGATGCACCACGCGCCAGACAAGACCACCGAGCTGCTGAAGGTCCTGTGCACCGGTTATCGACCCAGCAAAGACCCTCAACCTGACACAGAGAGCCAACACGAGGGGAAGGTATAGCCTGGAACTCTTGTGCAGTCATTCACGCTGTAAATTTCTTTCTCACGCACCCTCTTTCTCTCTTGCTCTCACACACTCGCGCTCTCTCTCTCACACACTCTTTCTCTCACACTCACACACACTCTCACACAGTCTTACACTCACATACACACTCACACTCCCCGACTCTCTTTCAGCAGTGACACACTCGCTCACACTCAGTGGAGTAATATTTTTCCTCTTGGATTTCAGGCTAATTCCGAGGAGTTTATTCCGATCTTCGCCAACAACCCTCGGGAGCTGAAGATGTTCCTGGAGCACATGATGGTGGAGCAGCCTGACTCCCCCCAGGCTGTGTACGACACCCTGCTCGAGCTCCGCCTCCAGGATTGGGCTCACGAGGACGAGACACAGGTTTTAATAATAATAATAATAATTGATAATCTTTGAATTTGATACAGCGCCTTATCACATCTTCAAGACGTCTCAAAGCGCTTCATGGAATATACTGTATAGTGAATTGACTGTATTTTGTGGGTGAAACATGGCAGCCAATTGCACACAGTAGTGTCCCACAAACAGTCATGGATTGAGTCACCAAATTCTTTTATATATGTATATATTTTGAACAACAACAACAAGATTACATTTGTATAGCGCCTTTCACGTCAGGAGGACGTCCTTTTGAAGGGATTATTAACCCCAGAAAAGCGATCTGCCAATCAACTAACAACTGGGTTCCTACTGACTGCTGGTAAACAGAGGCGTGTGGACTAAGGAAACTTGCGCAATGTTTTGCACTTGCTTCGCAAGTGAGAGGGCAAAACCTTAAGCAAGCTTTCTTACTTAATTGGTGGATCGCTCTTCCGGGGGTAATAATCCCTTCAAAAAAAAGAATAATTTGGTCATTTAGTCCACGGCTGTTGTGGGACACTGCTGTGCACAATTGGCTACCGCGTTTTGCCCACAAAATATACAGTCAATTCACCTTACAGTATATCCTGTGAAGTGCTTTGAGACGTGTTGAAAACGTGATGAGGTGTCAAATGCAAAGATTATCATTATCCTCCCGATGTGAAAAGGCGCTGGGGGGCCGGAATCTCTCCTGTGTTTGGCACCTATAGCACTAACACATCTCTGAAGTGGCTCTCCTTTCAATCCCATTTCTCCTCTGTTAGGCCAAGTGGCAGCTGCAGGAGGAAGCCATGGCACTGCTGAGAGGTGGGCTGTTTAAGGACGTGTTGGACAAGGCCCTGGTGCTGTGTCAGATGCACAACTTCAAGGACGGAGTGCTGTACCTGTACGAGCAGGGGCGTCTGTGAGTAACCCGAGGGTCAGGGGAGGTGGGGGAGGAGGGGGAAAGGCTGCATTGCTGGTCTCTCACCCCCTCTTCTGTGAGTAGGTACCAGCAGATCATGCACTATCACATGCAGAACGAGGCCTTCGCCAAAGTGCTGGACACATGTGAGCAGTACGGGGAGCAGGAGCCCTGCTTGTGGGAGCAGGCGCTCGGATACTTTGCCCGTAAGGAGGAAGATTGTAAAGAATATATCAGCCGCGTGCTGCAACACATCGACACCAACAACCTCATGCCCCCGCTGCTGGGTAAGAGTTGCCGTAAACTAACCCCTTCCTCCCCCCCACCTCAACCCATCCTACCTGTCACACCCCTCCCTCTATGGAAGAGGAAAAAGCACTCGCCTCGCAAGCGAGAGGGCCCGGGTTCAGTTCCCGGTAGAGCAAAACGTTTGGTAAATTTCAACAACAACAACTTGGATTTATACAGCGCCTTCCACGCCGGACGGCGTCTCAGCAGTCAGTAGGAACCCAGTTGTTAGTCAATTGGCAGATTGCTTTTCTGGGGTAATAATAAAAATAATAATAATTTGGTCGCTCAATCCGTGACTGTATGTGGGACACTGCTATGCGCAATTGGTGCCACTTTTGAGCCACAAAATATACAGTCAATTATACACTATATTCTGTGAAGCGCTTTGAGACATCTTGAAGATGTGATAAGGCGCTGTATGCAAAGATTATTATTATTAAAGGTCTTTGAAACGTGTCGAGGTGTGTAAGGCCCAGTGGTTAAGGTTGGTTTCTCACTGGATTCTGACATGTGTCTTTGTCGCCGCGGTGCCCAGTGGTCCAGACGCTCGCTCACAACTCCACGGCCACGCTCTCCGTCATCAAGGATTACCTGATCAGCAAACTGCAGCAGGAGAGTGAGCAAATCCGGGAGGACGAGCAGCGAGTGCAGCAATACCGTGAGGAGACACGCAGACTGCGCCATGAGATCCAGGAGCTGAAAACCAGGTGAACCACTGAACCTCCCATAGGAATAGGAGGAGGCCATTCAGCCCCTCGAGCCTGTTCCAACATTCTGTAAGATCATGGTTGACCTGTACCTCAACTCCAATTACCTGCCTTTGCCCCATATCCCTTGATCCGCTGACCTGATCAACATCTCTCCACCTCAGTCTGGACAGTGTGAATGGATCAGCCATAAACCACAGCCTTCTGTGGGGAGAGAGATTCCCACTGGCCTTTGTGTGTGTGTGAAAAACCGCCTCTGATTTCACTCCTAAGTGGCTTAGCTCTAATGTTAAGATGTTCTGGATTCCACACCAGAGGGAATAGTTTCTCTGTAGCTGCCCTGAACCTCCAGCCGTTCTGGGGCCTGAGCACCAGCGCAGTTTGTGTGGAGCTTCGAGGTCATGCCATCCCGGCTCCGTGGTGCCCGGTGGCATTCTGATACAATCCCAGTAGCGAGGCCTTGTGATAGTGAGTAGGAACCCGGTTGTTAGTTGTCTGGCTAGTTGGTAGCCCCACCCTATGTGAGGGGCCGGCCTGCGTGTGAGGGGCTGGCCTGCGTGTGAGGGGCCGCTATATAAATGCAAGTTGTTGTTGATGTTATCCAGCGCCAAGATCTTCCAGAAAACCAAGTGCAGCATCTGCAGCAGTGCCTTGGAGCTGCCGTCTGTGCACTTTCTGTGCTCACACTCCTTCCACCAGCACTGCTTCGAGAGCTACGCCGAGCACGACTCTGAATGTCCCACCTGCATGCCGGAGAACCGCAAGGTCACTGACATGATCCGGGCCCAGGAGCAGAAGCGAGACCTTCACGACACTTTCCAGCACCAGGTAAGTAACCGCCCGAGGCCACTCTACTGGGTTTTCACAAAGTCCTGGTTTTTTTTCAATAGTTCACTCGCTTCGCAACCAAGAGGACCTGGGTACGATTCCCGGGCAAGTTTCCTTGCACCCCACACACATCATGTTTACACAGCAGTAAGTAGGAACCCGGTTGTTAATTGATTGGCAAATCGCTTTTCTGGAGGTAATAATCCCTTCAAAAATGTTATTAAAAATAAAAAAATAATAATGTGGTCACTCAATCCACGACTGTTTGTGGGACGCTGAAGTGCAAAATTGGCAGCCGCATTTCAGTCACAAAATGCAGTCACTACACTTTACAGTATATTCTGTGAAGCGGTTTGAGACGTCTCAACGATATGATAAGGCGCTGTATCAATTCCAAGGATTATGATTATGTGGAACAATAATGATAATTGTATTTAAAAATACTTAATTGTATTCCGTGTTTATACATTCAGAGGATCGGTGTGAATGAGGATAATCATTTTCATGGCAGATAATGATCCGTCTCCATGTGCTGTAATATGGTGGAGGGGAGAGGGGATTCCTCTCTTGTTGGACGTTTTGCATCGAGCTTGGTATCTAACGTTTCCTCTCTGTGTGTTCATTTGCAGCTGAAATACTCGAAGGATGGATTTTCCGTGGTGGCGGATTACTTTGGTCGTGGGGTCTTTAACAAGCTGACTCTGATCACGGAGCCCCCCACGGGGAGGGGAGCGACAGTCAGCATCGACACCGGGCTCCAGCGTGACCTCCTCATACACACTAAGAGGCACGCCTAGCCCCCCGGCTCACCCAGCCCCGCTAATATAACGTGGAACTAAACTCTGAGATATGACGACGGCAAGCTCATGGCTACATGAATCCCAGATTTCAGCCTGTCGGAAGCTGCTGGGTGTGTTGCTGGGCTACACACAGGGTTGTTACTGCAGTCACCACCCGGCCAAGAGCAATGTCTAACGTGTTTTCTCTCCGCCTTCCTCATCATACCCATTGTCGTGTGGCCGAGAGAATCTGTCTCCTTCCCAAAGGACGTATGTGGAGGTGGGGGGATTCCTCTCTTGTCAGACATTTTAGATCAAGCCCCCGGTTCATGTGGAATAAACCAGAACAGGCAGTTGTTGGGAGCTGCCTGTCCAGACTCATGAGCAGTCCTGATCCTGTTCCTGTCCTGTGCACAGTCTCTGTCGCTCCTTGATCTCCAGCATTAATTTCTCCTGTTCTCCCCCTTCTCCTCACCACCCGATTATCTTGTGTAACATGAATTATTTTGTATGTTTTCTTTGTTTGCTTGTGTGCTACCTCATTCAATGTCACCAGCCAGTTGTCCCCATTGCACTCCCTCCCCAACCCGCACTAACTCGGCACCACCATTCTGTATCACACTCAGTCCCTGCCTTGTGTGTAGCAACACGTGTGTGTGATGGAGAGACCACCTTCCCCCACCAGGCCCCTTACCGCTTGCTCTGCCTCACTGCTCTGGATAGTAAATAATCCCTGCTAATAAATAAATAAAATAATAATTTGGTCAATTTGCGATTGTTTGTGAGACGCTGCTGTGTGCAATTGGCTGCCACGTTTCGCCTACAAAAAATAGAGTCACTTTACAGTGTATCCTGTGAAGAGCTTTGAGACATCTCGACGTGATAAAGCGCTATATCAAATGCAATAATTATTATTATTTTGCTCTGTGTGTGAATGTGGGGTGTTCGCCTAGATTGTTTACTTGTACAGCTGAAAAAATGCTTATTGGCATTCGAAAAATTAAAATAAACCCATGAGATGAACTGGAGCTCAGTCATGTGCTCACTGACCTCTCCTTCCCCATCTTCAGTGCCTGAAGACCTTCGGCCATGCCTATGATCACCTCCCCCTCCCATCGGCTGAGCATCAGGGTCCATCACTGTCGAGCGCTCTGGGACGCTACTCTGAGGGATGCTGTGTAAAATGCATGTTATTGTTGAATTTAAAGGGGAATCAGCTTCAAAGGTTAACTTCAGCACCGGGTAAATACAACAATACAACAAATTACATTTGTACAGCCTGATAAGGCGCTTTATAAAGTGCAAGGATTATTATTATTATTATAGTGCCTTTCATGTCAGGCGAAAACGTCCTAAAGGGCTGGACAGTCAGGCATCTGCACCCAAGCTGGTGGTTGGGTAGAGGTCAGGGACCTGACCAAAGCCACTATCGAACAAGAGGGTCTTGAAGACATTTGGCTGACATCAGGGCCTTGATGAGTGCAAACATCCTGCAGTTGAATGTGGACCAGACGTCTTCGCTCCTGTGGATCTAAACTCCTCAACCTCCCTGAGCTCTCCCTAAGACTCACCAAACCAGTGCACAATCTACAACAACAAGATTCCATTTATAGAGCCTTTCACGTCGGGAGGACGTCCCAAGGCGCTGTACAATTGGGTCAGGACCCAAGCAGAGGGGAAATGGTCAGGGTGAGGGGAGGGAAGGGAGGGAGCGAGGAGTGGGGAAATGGTCAGGGTGAGGGGAGGGAAGGGAGGGAGCGAGGAGGGGGGAAATGGTCAGGGTGAGGGGAGGGAAGGGAGGGGGCGAGGAGGGGGAAGAGAGTCGAGAGTGGAGCTGAAGGCTGAAGGTCAAAGAGAAAGGTCTTGAGACCGGCCTTGAAGGAGGAAAGGGAGGAAGCGGCGAAGGCACTGGGGGATAGAGTTCCAGAGCCTCGGGGCTGAGAGGCTGAAGGCCACCAATGGTGGGGCAGTTGGGACGGGGAATGTGGAGCAGACCGGAGCCAGAGGAACGGAGGGTACGGGCAGGTAGGTAGGGGGATAGTAGGTCGGAGAGGTAGGAGGAAGCGAGGCCGTGAATGGCCTTGTAGGTGAGGATGAGGATCTTGAATTCGATTCTCTGGGGGATGGGGAGCCAGTGGAGGCGAGCGAGGGTGGGAGTGATGTGGTCGCGAAGCCTGGTGCGGGGCAGTAAACCTAGGTGTCCGTTTCAAACCCCAGCTGTCCTTCCTCCCCCACATCTGGTCTTTGACCAGGATCCCCTTTCTCCACCTCCCCCACATTGCCCCCCCCCCTCCGAACGTACCTTATCCCAAATGTAGCCGAAACCCTGGTGCGTGTGTTTGTCACCTCCCGCCTGGATTACTCCAACCCCCTCCTCACCGGTCTCCCCGGCTCCACCATTCACCAGATCAGCTCATTCAGACTCTGCCGTCCACATACTGACCCCAACCAAACTCCGTCCCCACACCTCCCCAGCTCTGGCCCAGGCTCCACTGGCGCCCCATCACCCAACAGATCGACTTCAAGATCCTCTCACTCTCGTGTTCAAATCCCTTCACTCCCTGGCACCTCCCTCCCTCTCCGACTTCCTCACTCCCCAATCCACTACCCGATGCCTCTGCTCGACTGGCACCGACCTCATGCTCGTCCCTCACACCCTCCACCCCACCATTGGAGGTCGTGCTTTCAGCCACCATGCCCAGAAACTTTGAACATTCTCCTTCAACACTCCGTCTTGTCCCCCCTCTCCCCTTTTTCAAGTCTCGCCTTAAAACCTTCCTTTTCGAGCGTGCTTATGGTCATATCCCCACCACCCGGCTTGGAGCCAGACTTCGCCACTGTTAAGCTCTGAGACGCTACCTTGCGTGGAGGTGCTATATAAGTGCAAGTTGTAATTGTTGAAGAAGGCAAGGGCGGGGTGAGGTGGAGTGACTGTGGCTTGGAGTTCCAGAGAATGAAGGCAGAGAGGCTGAAGGCCCACCTACCAGTGGTGGGGTTGGCAAGGTGGGGGATATGAAGCAGGTCAGAGCCTGCTGAGTGGGGAGAGTGGACAGGTTGGTAGGGGGTTAAGAGGTCACTGAGGTAATGGGGAGCAAGGCTGTGGAGGGCTTTGAAGGTGAGGAGCAGGATCTTGGATTATCCTCTGAGTGATGGGAAGCCAATGTAGCCAGGCGAGGATGAGGGTAATAGGGGCGCAATCCTTGTGCGGGAGAGTACACAGGCTGCAGAGTTCTCGAAGATCTGCATCCTGTGTGGAGAGGGTGCAAAGGAGATTGACCAGGATGGTACCAGGAATGAGGGACTTCAGTTATCAGGAGAGATTAGAGAAGCGAGGATTGTTCTCCTTGGAGCAGAGAAGGTTAAGAGAAGTTTTCAAAATGATGAGGGGATTCGATAGAGTGGACAAGGAGAAACTATTCCCACTGGCGGGTGGGTCGGGAACCCGAGGACACTGATTTAAAATAGTTGTTAAAAGAAACAGAGGGAAGGTGAGGAGAAATGTTTTCACACAGCGAGTTGTTGGGATCTGGAATGCGTTGCCTGAAAGGCCGATGGAAGCCGATTCGATAACAGCTTTTAAGAGAGAAGTAGATAATTATTTGGGGAGGACAAGTTTGCAGGGCTATGGGGAGAGAGCGGGGAAGGGGGTTGATCAGGGCTTTGGGGAGAGAGCGGGGGAGGGGGTTGATCAGGGCTATGGGGAGAGAGCGGGGAGTGGGGTTGATCAGGGCTATGGGGAGAGAGCGGGGGAGGGGGGTTGATCAGGGCTATGGGGAGAGAGCGGGGGGAGTGGGGTTGATCAGGGCTATGGGGAGAGAGCGGGGGAGTGGGGTTGATCAGGGCTATGGGGAGAGAGCGGGGGAGTGGGGTTGATCAGGGCTATGGGGAGAGAGAGAGTGGGGTTGATTTGAATAGTTCTTTGCAAAGAGACACGGTGGACTGAATGGCCTCCTTCTGTGCTGTATAATTCAATGATTCCAAGGAGGTTTACATCCCCAGCCTGAAGGAGATTGCTCACATCAGCTGTTAGATAACAAGAGGCTGGAGAACATCAACTATATATATATATATATATATATTTATATAGCGCACTCCACAAAAGATAGCGTCTCAGAGCGCTTAACAGTGGCAGAGCCTGACCCCAAGCCAGGGGACGTGGCCGTAAGCACGAATGAACAGGAAAGTCTTCAGGTGGGACTTGAAATAGGGGAGAGCAGGGGCAAGGCGGCGGAATTGAGGGAGAGGGTTCCAGCATTTCGGGGCGTTGTAACTGACCCCCAAATGGTGGGCGGAGGGTGTGAGGGATGAGCAGGAGCCGGTGCTGGTGAAACGGAGGCGCCCGGTGGTGGATTGGGGAGTGAGGAGATCGGAGAGGTAGGGAGGTGCCAGGGAGTGAAGGGATTTGAACACGAATGTGAGGATCTTGAAGTTGATCCATTCAGTGATGGGGAGCCAGTAGCCTGGGCCAGAACTGATGAGATGTGGGGACGCAGTTTCACGTCAGGAGTTCATCCCAAGGCTCTGGACATCAGTGTTTTGGACCCGAGCTGGGGGTGGGATTGGGGAGGGTGGAGGCCTGGGGGGGAAGGAGGGTGGCCGAAGGCACGGTCGAAGAGGAGGTTTTTGAGACTGGTCTCAAGAGAGGGGAGCGAGGCGGAGGGACTGCGGGATGGAGTTCCAGAGAATGGGGGCAGTGGCTGAAGGCCCACCTATCAATGGTAGGGTGGGCATGGTGGGGGATGTGAAGTAGGCTGGAGCGGAGGGAGTGGGCAGGTTGGTAGGGAGGTTACAGAGGTAGGGGGGAGCAAGGTTTTGAAGGTGAGGACAAGGATCTTGAACTGTATCCTCTGTGTGATGGGAAGCAGTGGAGTCGGGCGAAGATGGCGGTGATAGGGTCGTGGAGCCTGGTACGGGAGAGAGGACACGGGCTGCAGAGTTCTGGATGATCTGCAGCCTGTGGAAGGAGTTGTTGGGGAGGGCGACAAACAGGGAGTTTACGTGGTCAAGCCTGGAAGTTATGAAGGCGTGAATGTGGGTCTTGGCGGCCTGTGGGGTGAGACAGCACTGGAGCCGGGCGATGTTGCGGAGGTGGGGGAAGGCTGATGTTGGGTGGAAAGGATAGTTCAGGGTCAAGCAAGATGCTACTGGCTTAGCAAGGTGGAGTGTGCAACCATGGATGGTGATGCTGTCAGCGCCTGACGTATGGAGGAGCTGATGGGGACCAATCAGGAGAACGTCGGTCTTATTGAAGTTCGTGGTTAGAACACTCACTCGATTACTGGGTTCGATTACTGGTGAAACCTTATACAAGTTTCCTTACTCAATACACCTGTTACTGAGCAGTGAGTAGGAACTCGGTCAATTGGTGGATCGCTATTCCGAGGCTAATAATCCCTCCAAAAAAATAAATAATAAATTGGTGACTCAACCCATTCAAACCCTCTGTAGGACTTCACTGTACACAATTGGCTGCTGCGTTTCGCCCACAAAATAGACAGTCAGTACACTTTACAGTGTATCCTGTGAAGCGCTTTGAGACGTCTCAATTTGATAAGGCACTGTGTCAAATGGAAGCGTTACTGTTATTTGCTGCGATTTGCTCCCGGAGCTCCGCATTGCCATCGCCACCTTCCGCAGTGGGTGTCTGTGTGTGGGAGGGAGGCGCCGCCCGGGGGGTCAGTGCAGGCGGTGACCGGCAGAGGGCGGCACTGGCAGACTCGGGGAGGAGAGGAAGGAGAGGGACTCTCTTGTCTCTCTCTCTGCTCCTTGGCGAGTGTTTGGCCGTTACTCGGGGAATGGCGGAGTCGGATTTGGAGAGCGGCAAAGTGGGCACCGGGGGGGGGCACCGGGGGGGGGGGGCACCGGGGGGGGGCACCGGGGGGGGGCACCGGGGGGGCACCGGGGGGGGGGGGCACCGGGGGGGGGCACCGGGGGGGGGGCACCGGGGGGGGGCACCGGGGGGGCACCGGGGGGGGGGGGCACCGGGGGGGGGCACCGGGGGGGGGCACCGGGGGGGCACCGGGGGGGGGGCACCGGGGGGGGGGGCACCGGGGGGGGCACCGGGGGGGGGGCACCGGGGGGGGGGCACCGGGGGGGGGGGCACCGGGGGGGGGGGCACCGGGGGGGGCGGGACAGAGAGAGAGACAGCGTCAGGGCCGCAGTGTTGGTGACTGTTCTCTGTGTGTTGGTGACTGTTCTCTGTGTGTTGGTGACTGTTCTCTCTGTGTGTTGGTGACTGTTCTCTGTGTGTTGGTGACTGTTCTCTCTGTGTGTTGGTGACTGTTCTCTGTGTGTTGGTGACTGTTCTCTGTGTGTGTTGGTGACTGTTCTCTGTGTGTGTTGGTGACTGTTCTCTGTGTGTTGGTGACTGTTCTCTGTGTGTGTTGGTGACTGTTCTCTGTGTGTTGGTGACTGTTCTCTGTGTGTGTTGGTGACTGTTCTCTGTGTGTGTTGGTGACTGTTCTCTGTGTGTGTTGGTGACTGTTCTCTGTGTGTGTTGGTGACTGTTCTCTGTGTGTGTTGGTGACTGTTCTCTGTGTGTGTTGGTGACTGTTCTCTGTGTGTTGGTGACTGTTCTCTGTGTGTTGGTGACTGTTCTCTGTGTGTGTTGGTGACTGTTCTCTGTGTGTTGGTGACTGTTCTCTCTGTGTGTTGGTGACTGTTCTCTGTGTGTGTTGGTGACTGTTCTCTGTGTGTGTTGGTGACTGTTCTCTGTGTGTTGGTGACTGTTCTCTGTGTGTGTTGGTGACTGTTCTCTGTGTGTTGGTGACTGTTCTCTGTGTGTGTTGGTGACTGTTCTCTGTGTGTTGGTGACTGTTCTCTGTGTGTTGGTGACTGTTCTCTGTGTGTTGGTGACTGTTCTCTGTGTGTTGGTGACTGTTCTCTGTGTGTTGGTGACTGTTCTCTGTGTGTTGGTGACTGTTCTCTGTGTGTGTTGGTGACTGTTCTCTGTGTGTTGGTGACTGTTCTCTGTGTGTGTTGGTGACTGTTCTCTGTGTGTGTTGGTGACTGTTCTCTGTGTGTTGGTGACTGTTCTCTGTGTGTGTTGGTGACTGTTCTCTGTGTGTTGGTGACTGTTCTCTGTGTGTGTTGGTGACTGTTCTCTGTGTGTGTTGGTGACTGTTCTCTGTGTGTGTTGGTGACTGTTCTCTGTGTGTTGGTGACTGTTCTCTGTGTGTTGGTGACTGTTCTCTGTGTGTTGGTGACTGTTCTCTGTGTGTTGGTGACTGTTCTCTGTGTGTTGGTGACTGTTCTCTGTGTGTTGGTGACTGTTCTCTGTGTGTGTTGGTGACTGTTCTCTGTGTGTTGGTGACTGTTCTCTGTGTGTGTTGTCAGGGGAAGCTGGTGGCCAATCAGCCGTATGACGAGAGTGTGGACGTGAATGATGGCGAGGAGGTGGCGAGCGTGTACACGCCCACACCGCGGCACGTCCGTGCGTAACCTGCACTGAGTCGCACACAACACCGGGTCCCGGGCAGAACCCAATCCTGGTCATCGTTTGGGATGAGGGGCGTTTTAATGTATCCCCGGTTCCTCTTCGACCGCACCTTCAGTCACCTTCAGTCCTCCCGACGTGAAAGGCGCTCAATAAATGGAATCTTGTTGTTGTTGTTGTTCCCACTCCCACTCTCCCTGCACTCCACCTCCCTTGATCCAAATCTCCAGCTCAGGTGCAAACCCTTCACTGTCCGGCTCCCTGGGACATCCTTCCGATGTGAAAATAATAATGCAGTCACTCAATCCATGACTGTTTGTGGAACACTGTTGTGCACAATTGGCTGCCACATTCCGCTCACTAAATGTATCGTCAACTCACTTTACAGTATATTCCGTGAACTCTTTGAGATGTCTTGAAAGCATAATAAGGCACAATATCAAATGCAAGAATTACTATTAAAGGCGCTGTGTACATGTAATTTATTGTTGTTACAGTGTTGGAGGCTTTTAAGGGAGTTTGGGGTTTTCAGGTGATTGAGACTCTCAGTCACCAGCATTGCTGCTGATGGAAATCAGTCTCGCTCATCCCTGCCTTAAACCCCATCACCATTCACACCTGCAAACACAGGGCATATTACACTTTCATAGCTGTTGGCAGGATGTACAGTAACAGGGTTTGGTGAATTTTCTGAGATCTTCTTTGTTGTTTTGTCTTTAGCTGCTCCCAAGTCAGAATGTGTCCAGAGCAGAATTGTGGTGGATAACAGCAGCGACGAGTATGAGGAGGACGTAAGCAAAGTGATGTCCACAGAGGTAAGTCCACTCCCCCCCCACCCCCCCCACTCCTCCCCCAACCCCCTTGGTGGCAATGCTGTAACGAGAAACTGTGGGAACTGATGAGGCTGTAAATCCATTACCAGTCTCACAGCATAGATTGACTTACAATCATATTTTGCATTGCATTAGCCGTCACGTTTGCCTACAGAATAATAGTCACCAACTTCAAAATGATGCATGTGAAGCCTTTTGAGGGTTTTTGGTGTTTAAAATCCCCTCAGTGTGCAGCTGACCACAGTAACTGCACAGGGGAGTCTCAACCTGAGCAGGTGCAGGAGAATAATAATAATAATCCTTGCATTTGATATAGCCCCTTATCACATCATTGAGACGTCTCAAAGCGCATCACAGGATATAGAGTGAATTGACTTGTATTTTGTGAGCGAAACACGACAGCCAGTTATGCACAGCAGCATCCCACAAACAGCCGTGGAGCGAGTGACTATTTTATTTGGGGGGGATTGTTGACCAAGTCACCGGAAGGGAGAGACAAAACTCCCTTCGAATGGCGCCGTGACGTTCAACTGGACCGGCAGATGGACCTTGGTTTAATGTCTCATCCGAAGCAGAAGCCTGTGATGTGCAAAGAGCGGCTGTTCTGAGCCGTGTTCCGTCCGCTGACGTTTAATCTCTTCACCAGGAGAAGAAGCCGCTGCAGCGAGCCTTCGTGGAGAACGAGGACGAGGAGGAGGAGGATTCTGACGAAACGGATTCCGACGAAGATGATGAAGAGCATGGAGCGCCACCGGAAGGGTGCGTTAGATCGTGAACCAATCCTCAGTGTGGTGTAAAGATGCTTTTTCCTGCTTCCCCCCACAACCTCCACGCTCCCCCATCCCGACCCTCAGCTCGGGTCTGTAACCCTGCCTGTCCAGCGCCTCGGGATGTCCTCCTGATGTGAAAGGCTCTTTACAAATGTAATGTTGTTATTCTTGTTGTTGTAAATAGTGGGACCTCCGATGGGATAGTGTCTGTGTTGTATTGGCCTGTGGGCATCATGTCTCCTCTTCGCACTCTCTCAATGGAATATCTTTCTTTTTCAGCGCGTATGACCCTGCAGACTATGAGCATCTCCCCACCTCGCCAGAGATAAAGGAACTTTTCCAGTACATCACCAGGTAACACTTGTTTGCTTGAGGATTGTTTCTTGTGGAGTCCTGTAGCTCAGTGGTTTGAGCACTCACTTCGCAAGCGCGAGAACCTGGGTTCGATTGCCGGACAGAGCAAAACGTTGGGCAAGTTTCCTTACTCCACACGCCTCTGTTTACCCAGTAGTAAGTAGGAACCTGGTTGTCAGTCGATTGGTGGACCAGTTTTCCGGGGGTAATAATCACTTCAAATAAAAAATAATAATAATTTGGTCACCCAATCCATGATGTTTGTAGGACACCTCTGTGCACAATTGGCTGCTTCGTTTCGTCCACAAAATATACAGTCAATTCACTTTACAGTATATTCTGTGAAATAGCGCCTTATCACGTCTCAAAGATGTGATAAGGCATTTTATCAAATGCAAGGATTATCTTTGTGTTTATAACTGGTGTGGAGTGGCTGAGGCTGGGAGTCTGTCTGTCACAGGTACACTCCGCAGTCTGTCGAGCTGGATCACAAACTCAAACCGTTCATCCCCGACTTCATCCCTTCGGTCGGCGACATCGACGCATTTTTAAAGGTATAAAAGGAACCGTTGAGAAGAAGTTTGTTGTTATCTGTCATAACTTAAGGGATTCTCCTCCCAGTGTTGTGTGAACGAAGAGTTTATCTGATTGGCTGCTCTCTCTCACTCTCACTCTCGCTCTCACTCTCTCGCTCTTACTCTCGCTCTCACTCTCTCGCTCTTACTCTCTCTCTCTCGCTCTCACTCTCGCTCTCACTCTCTCGCTCTTACTCTCTCTCTCTCTCTCGCTCTCACTCTCTCTCTCGCTCTTGCTCTCTCTCTCTTTCTCGCTCTCTCTCTGGCCTGTGTGTGATTGGCTGCTCTCTCTCACTCTCTCTCTCTCGCTCTCTCTCTCTCGCTTGCTCTCTCTCTCGCTCTCTCTCTGGCCTGTGTGTGATTGGCTGCTCTCTCTCGCTCTCTCTCTCTCCTCTCTCACTCTCTCTCTCTCGCTTTCTCTCTCTCTCTCTCTCTCGCTCTCTCTCTCGCTCTCTGGCCTGTGTGTGATTGGCTGCTCTCTCGCTCTCTCTCTCTCTCTCTCTCTCGCTCACTCTCTCTCTCACTCTCTCTCTCGCTCTCTCTCGCTCTCTCTCTGGCCTGTGTGTGATTGGCTGCTCTCTCTCGCTCTCTCTCTCTCTCTCTCTCGCTCTCTCTCTCACTCTCGCTCTCTCTCTTGCTCTTTCTCTGGCCTGTGTGTGATTGGCTGCTCTCTTTCGCTCTCTCGCTCTCTCTCGCTCTCTCTCTCTCTCGCTCTCTCTCTCACTCTCTCGCTCTCTCTCTCGCTCTCTCTCTGGGCTGTGTGTGATTGGCTGCGCTCTCTCTCTCTCTCTCTCTCTCTCTCTCGCTCTCTCTCTCTCACTCTCTCTCTCGCTCTCTCTCTGGCCTGTGTGTGATTGGCTGCTCTCTCTCTCTCTCTTGCTCTCTGGCCTGTGTGTAGGTTCCCAGGCCGGATGGGAAGGCTGACACACTGGGGCTGGTGCCACTGGATGAGCCGTGTGCCAAGCAGTCTGACCCCACGGTGCTGTCCCTCTGGCTGACCGAGAACTCCAAACAGCACAGCATCACGGTGAGAGGTCCGGCTCATTGTCCCATTACCGTGACCCCATCACCCCCACCCTCGACTGGCTTCACTGGCTCCCCATCCCCTAGAGGATAGAGTTCAAAATCCTCGCCTTTAAAACACCCTCCACTCCCTTGCTCCTTCCTACCTCTGTGACCTGCTGACCCCATATCAACCTGTCCGCTCACTTCACTCAGCAGGCTCCGGCCTGCTCCATGTCCCCCGCCCGGCCCTCCCCACCATCGGCAGTCGGGCCTTCAGCCTTTCTGCCCCCACGCTTTGGAACTCCATCCCACAGTCCCTTCGCCTCACTCCCTCCCTCGCCTCCTTCAAGGTGCGTCTCAAGACCCTCCTCGGCCACCCTCTAATCCCCACCCTCCTCAGATCCCAACCTCCAGCTCGGGTACAAATCTCTGACTGCCTTGGGACGTCCTCCCGACGTGAGCATCGCTGTGTAAGTGTAATGTGTAGTTGTTGTTTTCTTTCCCAGCAGCAGCTGAAGGTGAAGAGCGTGGAGAACGCAGAGAAGAACCCAAAGGCCATTGATAACTGGATGGAGAGCATCAGCGAGCTCCACCGCTCCAAACCCCATGCTAACATTCACTACACAAGGTCAGTCCCACCCACACTGCGCTGTCTCTCTTTCCCCCACACACTGCGCTGTCTCTCTCTCCCCCACACACTGCGCTGTCTCTCTCCTCCACACACTGCGCTGTCTCTCTCTCTCTCCCCCACACACTGCGCTGTCTCTCTCTCTCTCCCCCACACACTGCACTGTCTCTCTCTCTCTCCCCCACACACTGTGCTGTCTCTCTCTCCCCCACACACTGCGCTGTCTCTCTCTCTCCTCCACACACTGCGCTGTCTCTCTCTCTCTCCCACACACACTGCGCTGTCTCTCTCTCTCTCCCCCACACACTGCGCTGTCTCTCTCTCCCCCACACACTGCGCTGTCTCTCTCTCCCCCACACACTGCGCAGTCTCTCTCTCCCCCACACACTGTGCAGTCTCTCTCCCCCCCACACACACTGCACTGTCTCTCTCTCTCTCTCCCCCACACACACTGTGCTGTCACACATCCACGAGCCTCCACCAGGGACCAACTGACTGTAGCTGGAGCAGGAGATGCTTTGATCTGATGCCAGTTGTTGCTCCCGCAGACCCATGACTGACATCGAGACGCTGATGCAGGAGTGGCCGGCTGAGTTTGAGGAACTTCTGGGAAAGGTGAGCGATGCCAGGCTCCAAGTCCAAATGAGTTTGTTCTGTGTGAATGTGAGCTTGCTCTCTCTCTCTCTCTTTCTCGCTTGCTCTCACTCTCTCTTGCTGTCTGAAAGTACCTGAAACCTTTTGTTTCCTGTGGCCCAGGTGAGCCTTCCCACCGCAGAGATCAACTGCGACCTGGCCCAGTACATTGACATGATCTGTGGTGAGTTGTGGGGCAGCGAGTCACAGAGAAGCTGAAATCTGGAGAGAATTAGTTTGTGGTGAGGAGTCTGAGGAGGCAGCGAGCACCTACAGCGTAGAGGGAGTCATCATTGCTTTTTAATAGGAATCTTCATAAGTGGAGTCCTGTAGCTCAGTGGTTAGAGCCCTCGCCTCGCAAGTGAGAGACCTGGGTTCGATTCCCGGGCAGAGCAAAACATTAGGCAAGTTTCCTTACTCCGCACACCTCAGCCCATGCCACATACGTACAAAATATACAGACAATTCACTTTACAGTATATTCTGTGAAGCACTTTGTGCTGTCTCAACAAAGTGATAAGGCGCTGTATCAAATACAGGGATTATTATTACTAAACCCAGCAGTAAGTAGGAACTTGGTTGTTAGTCGATTGGTGAATCGCTTTCCAAGGGTAATAATCCCTTCAAAAAAATGTGGGACGCTGCTGTGCGCAATTGGCTGCTGCGTTTCGCCCACAAAATACGCAGTCACTACTCTTTATAGTGTATTCTGTGACGTCTCGAAGACGTGATAAGACACTATCAAATGCCAGGATTATTATTATAATCTCAGCATTGAGAGGAACACAGTGTTCAGATCTGTGTCACCCGCGACCTCTACATACTGTATATACTCTGTATCCCTTCTCCCACAGCTATCCTGGATATCCCCGTCTACAAAGATCGCATCCAGTCTCTGCACGTGCTTTTCACACTCTACTCGGAGTTCAAAAACTCACAGGTAAATAGTTTGGGGAAAATGTTGCCACAAGGAGCTCTGATAGAAACTCCTTCTTTTCCAACAGTGCTATGTGGTATGTACATCCACATCTTCACAAGTCTCTCTGAGAAATGCTTCCTGACCTCAAGTCAAAGTGTCTTGAGTCTGATTTTACGTCTCTGCCCTTTGTCATACATCCTCGATCAATACTGTGCAACTGGGTCTTAAGATATATAGATATATATATAGGAACCGGGAGACCATTCAGCCCTTCAAGCCTGTTCTATTAGATCGTGGCTGATCTGTACCTCAGCTCCAAATACAGGTCCTTGCCCCATATCCCTTGATCCCGTGACCAGATAAACATCTCTCCATCTCAGTCTGGACAGTGTGAATGGATCCAGCCATAAATCACAGCCTTTTGAACCTGACAGTTTGGTTGAATGTGGGGACCAATGTCTGACTGTGGAGCTGAGAGCAGCCCAGAGGCTGGTGTCTTAGTGGTAGGTGTTTATGTCTCTTTATTAACAAGCAGCTTGTCACTGCTCGTCTGAGAGAATCAGCGGCTGAACAGGGAGCCCGTGGGCAGCAGCGATGCTCGGGGGATGTTCCAGGAGCCACTTGGGCCTCTAACCTTCTCTCCCTCAGTCCCTCTGCTTTGCTCCCTTCCCTCCTTCCCTCCCTCCCCACCTTCAAATCCTGCTTAAAGACCTTCCTTTTTGATCGTGCTTACGGTCACCTCCCCCCTCCCTCTCCCCGCGGTTTGGGGTCAGACTCCAATACTGTCAAGTGTTCGGGGACGCTACCCGTGTGAAGGGCGCTGGATAAATGCCAGTTGTTTTGCAGCATTTCAAAGCTCTGGCTGAAGGGAACAAGGTGACGGGCTCGGGAGACCCCCCACCACAGAGTGCAGACCCCGACAGCGTGATCCTCGACTGACCGGAAGCCATGGGCGGGGCTTCCCCACCACAGCCGAGGAATTTCCTTCTCAATATATTTTAACGTTTTACTATTTTATTTTTCTATCCGTTGTATAAATTTTCTAATAAATAATTCTATTTGGATCAAACTTAAGTTTTACCTCATCAACAACATCACACCTCCACCAAAACCCCCGAACACTGGCAAGAAAGGAAATGAAGAAATTGATATGGTGGAGACCTGTAGTTCAGTGGTTAGACGCTCGACTCACAAGCGCGAGGACCTGAGTTCAATTTCCGGGCAGAGCCAAACCTTACTCCACACACACACACACACACACACGCTTTACCAGCAGTGAGTAGGAACCCGGTTGTGAGTCAATTGGCGGATCACTTCCGGGGGTAATAATCCCTTCAAAATAAATAATAATAATAACTTGGTCACTCAATCCACGACTGATTGTGGGGACGCTGCTGTGCACAATTGACTGCCGCGTTTCACCCCAAATACAGTCACTGCACTTTACAGTATATCCTGTGAAGCGTTTTGAGACGTCTCGAAGATGCGATGAGGCGCTGGTCAAATGCAAGGATTATTATTATTAAATGAAGAAATTGATGTTAGAATGTGGTCACTGGGGTCCGGCTGCTCTGTCCCCGCTCAGTGACTGAGTTTAACGTATTACCCAAAGGGTGGCCCCTCAGGGAGTGTTGCTGTCAGCTCAGTGTGTGAGCTCCTGTCCGGCCCGAGTGCAGAAACCCACAACCTCCTGACCCAGAATGAGACTCGCTCTCCACACTGCAGCTGTAGGGAAGGCAGCGGAGCGAGGGGTGGAGGTTGGAAACTTAGAGCCAAAGAGACAGGAAGAGAAGCTTCTGAAACCACATGAGTCAGTGTTCGAGCTGAGTGAGCGAGAATCACATTAATATCTGTGTTTTGCACAAATGTCAGCTTCCCTCTGAGCAGCAGCCAAAACACAGACAAATGGCACCTTATTCCTTAGTTTATGTTTTTTTTTAAACTCTTGAGTTGAGGGTTTGGTGTGACACAGAGATTGTGATCCTGAAAATGTAAAAGTTTATTAAAGTTAAAACATCCTGCGACTGAAGCGGGTAAATTCAGAACAGATACACCACTTCAGTGAGCGAGTAGTAAACAGGTTCCCCAGGGGTTTCAAGAACAAATTAGCCAGATTTCTGGGAGAAAATAATATCGCGATACAGTTTGGGACACGATGTGTCCAGCGACTGGCAGGATGGTGGAAGACGACTAGATGGACCTTATCAACAAAGGGAGGCGTCTGTGCCAGGTTCTGGCTGATGTTTCTCTCTCACACTGCAGCTCAGCTACAAGAACGATGTACATGAAGCCTCTCAAGTAACAGACGCGTCTCAAAGTGCTTCACAGAATGAGGTGAATTACAAACAATGTGTTTCAGCGATGTCCCCGCACACAGGACAGAGCCGAGCGGCTGATTAAACATTCAACAACAACAACGTTCAGAGTGATTTGGGATCAGAAGAAAATCTAAAAGACGGAATAATTGGCAGAATCATGAATCATAGGTTCCTACATCAGAGGAGGCCATTCGGCCCCTCGTGCCTGTGCTAGCTCTGGCTACCCAACTAGCCCCCACTCCCCCGATCTTACCTCAACTAACCCCCACTCCCCCGCTCTTACCCCAAATAATCCCACTCCCCCTCTTTTACCCCAACTAGCCCCGCTCCCCCACTCTCAACCCAAATAGCCCCACTACCCCACTCTTACCCCATACTCCTGCCCATTTTTCCTAAAGTACATATCCAATTCCCTTCTGGAAGTTATTACAGAATCTGCTTCCACCTCCCTTTCAGGCAGCACAATCCAGATCTTAACAACTCTCAACTTTCTGTAGTTGGTTAAGTTTAATCACTTTTATATGATTGTAACTTAGACAATTACATTAATATTACTTTACAGTATATTCTGTGAAGCGCTTTGAGGCATCTCAAATCTGTGATAATGCCCTTTATCAAATGCACGGATGATTATTATAGAGGATGAGAAAGTGGTGTTTGGAGACAAAGGAAAAAAGAGGTTAAAATGAACTATTTAAAAAGAAAATAAGATTAAATGATATGTCTGTGTACAGTATAGAATTATAAAGTAAGAGGATGTTAATGGGGGGGCAATTCTAAAGAGGAAGACATTTTTTGCTGTAAATATTTTGTAACCAGTAATGGAAGCGCTGAAACATTGTGAGATATTATTGTCACATTCGCAGGATGTTTTTTATTCATTGTATGCAAACGGATATCTGCCCTGTGAGGAAGGCATTCAGTCGAGACACTTTATTGACATTTTTTTAAGAGGTTAAAATAGATTTATTTTCTCCCTCAACAAATTTGGATTTATTAGTTCTCTTTAATAATTTGTGGAGTCCCATAGTGTAGTGGTTTGCATACCCGCCTTGCAAGTGAAAGGACCTGGGTTTGATTCCAGGGCGAAACGTTGGGCAAGTTTCTTTACCCCACACACACGCCTCTGTTTACCCAGGAGTAAATAGGAACCGATTGTTAGTTGATTGACGATCGCTTTCCTGGGGATAATAATTCCTCCAAAAAATAAATAAATGCGGTCACTCAATCCACAACTGTTTGTGTGACGCTGCTGTGCGCAATTGGTTGCAGCGTTTAGCCCACAAAATACACAGTCACCACACTTTACAGTATATTCTGTGAAGCGCTTTGAAACATCTCAAAGATGTGATAAGGCGCTCTTTCAAATGTAAGGATTATTATTATTAGCATAATTTTAACTCCAGAGTTTTGGGGTGGTTTTACAGGGCTGGGTTGGGCTGGGCTGTGCCGCTGGAGGGGACAGAATGAAGCCGAGAAGGTTCCTGCGGTGATAGACTGATTGGGACGGGACGGTCTCGAGTGTTTGCAGAGAGTCTGTGGATCCCACCGGGGAACAAAGGGTTAAATTTCCAATGGGTTCAGCCCAAACTCCAGGAGTTGCTTCTTGTGCTGAGAGTGAAAGATGGTGGCTTGTTTCTCCCATTGCATCTTGGCTGCATCCAGCTTAAGCAGCAGCCTGTCCAGACTGTCCTGTAGTGGAGAGGAGAGAGGTCAGGACATAGCGGCATATTGATGCGCTTTGGCAGATACGGGTTGGGAACCTGCTGTGCTTGTTTTCTTAATGACTGATTGCACAGCCTCACCCACCCTCAGTGCATCAGCCAAAGCCATTACTCTGCTCCTCAACATGGGCTAGACGACACTGGTTGGCATTTGACACTGCCCGCTCTGTGGGGTAAGGAGTTGCCAATAGGGTGGTTGGGTGATACACACGTGTGAGCTGAGGAATTGTGTGAACTCCCTGTAGTTGTTGTGTGGTTCTGCGCTTACGTGCAGGATGTTCTCATACGCGGTCTCCATGTTGTTTATCTTGTCCTGGAGCTCGGAGATGACGGCGTTCTTTTCATCCATAATCCGCATATTCTCGTCCCGGGTCCTCACCAGTTCTTGTTGGCAGATTCCTGGGTGGAGGAACTTTACACAATCAGCTGAGACACCAAGCCCTGAGCCAGATCAGCTCACGCCAATCCCACAAAGCTACCCACTCAACAGAAACATGCATTTACATAGCGCCTCGTAAATAGGATTACATCTCAGAGGCTCACGGGTCATATGTGAATCACAGAGCAGTGCAGGAACTGCAGGAAGGAGACTTGAAGATTTTCAGGAAGGAAGTGGGGAGGGGAGTTCCAGGGATTGGGGGATGAGTGGCTGATGGTGGGACCGGGGATGAGGTACATGTAGTGAGGTTCTCAGCCCCCCGCAGGGTCCTGACGGCAACTTACTGAGCTGCTGCTGTAGGTAGCTGACCTCAATCTCCAGCTGATGAGCACGGACCCCCAGCTCCGCCCGCATGGTCTTGTACTGACGACCAATATCTGGGGGTGGAGAGGACATTGCGGAGTTAGATAACAACCTGCTTATTTTTGTATCTGAGCTGCAGTGATGTGAGGTCACAGGGATCAGCTCTTTCCTCCTATTTTTCCCAGTCACAGGCCTGTGACATCACCCTGTTCCCTCCCTCCCTCCCCCAGTGTCAGCTCTGAATGTCTGTGGGCGTTTGGCTTTGAGGAGCCTGTGATATTCTCTTATCTCCACCTCTGGCCTGGTGGAGATCATGCAGTCGCTTGCTGTGTGGAAGTCACTAAAGAATTTACCAATTGACTCATTGGAGAGTTACAATAATTTCAATGTTTAATGTAACAGTCAGTCTGTTACATGCCAGAGCTCGCTCTTCTGTGCTTTTTCCAGGTCTGCTCCCCCATTGCTGCTCACCTGAGTGAATAGCCTTGCTGTCCTCTCGCTCCTCACTCAGTTTGTGCTCCACCATCTCCAGCTTTGTCTTCCATTCTGTTCTGCAGAGCAGCGCCTGTCTAGCCACATCCCTCCTCAGCACTGAAAGACAAAGCACCCTTAATATTAGCCGTTTTATGTACATCACTGAACATCACCACATTAAACCCCGGTTTGGTTATTAGGAACGGTTTATGCTTTTGCTGGTGAGGTACATTCCTGCTGATGAATTAAGTTGTACCCCTCCACACATTTAGTTTGTTTTGCCCACCCGGGTGTTAGACACATACGGAAACCCATCACTGCGCTTACAAGTCTCCAAACCAAGCTGAGATTTCCATATATCTCCACCCACATGTGGAAGTATCCCCCGTTCGCCATAGTCATAGCAGAAGTTAAACACAGAGTAAATCTGTGCACTTTGGCTGAACAATGTACCTACAACCCCATAAGAGCACCGCCTTGTGATTCTCTTGTGCACTTCCAAGTTGCAGATGTTTTGCAAGTAGATAGTGAGACCCTCATTTATTACCATAGCCTTCACGACACTGCACTGCCACCAATGGACGGCAGGTGGCGATAATGAACCATTAGGTACTGCTCTCAGTAGCGCCACCAGCAGTTATTATGTGGCAGTGCAGCGCATTCTCCGCCACCTGTACCCATAAAAGGACAAAACTGGGATTCAAAACATCCCACTTACCCAACTGGTCTTTCAGCGATTCCACTTCATGAACGATTCGCTTGTACTTATCCTCGATGTTGTCTCCTAAAAACAACAACAACAACAAGACTCCATTTATTGAGTGCCTTTCACGTCGGGAGGACGTCCCAAGGCGCTGTACAGTTGGGTCAGGACCCGAGCATTGGGGGAAATGGTCAGGGTGAGGGGAGGGAAGGGAGGGAGCGAGGAGGGGGGAAATGGTCAGGGTGAGGGGAGGGAAGGGAGGGAGCGAGGAGGGGGGAAATGGTCAGGGTGAGGGGAGGGAAGGAGCGAGGAGGGGGTAGAGAGTCGAGAGTTGAGCTGAAGGCTGAAGGTCAAAGAGAAAGGTCTTGAGACCGGCCTTGAAGGAGGAAAGGGAGGAAGCGGCGAAGGCACTGGGGATAGAGTTCCAGAGCCTCGGGGCTGAGAGGCTGAAGGCCACCGATGGTAGGGCGGTTGGGGCGGGGGATGTGGAGCAGACCGGAGCCAGAGGAACGGAGGGTACGGGCAGGTAGGTAGGGGGATAGTAGGTCGGAGAGGTAGGAGGGAGCGAGGCCGTGAATGGCCCTGTAGGTGAGGGTGAGGATCTTGAAATCGATCCTCTGGGGGATGGGGAGCCAGTGGAGGCGAGCGAGGGCGAGGGTGAGGGTGGGAGTGATGTGGTCGCGGTGTCTGGTGCGGGACAGTACACGAGCTGCAGAGTTCTGAATGACCTGCAGTGTGGAGGGAGGGCCGGGAAGGCCGACGAGGAGAGAGTTCCCATAGTCCAGCCTTGAGGTGATAAAGGTGTGGACCAGAGTTTCAGCCGCGTGAGGGGTGAGGTAGTGTCGTAGTCTGGCGACATTCTGGAGGTGATGGAAGGCGGTGCCAGTTGTGGCACAGATATGAGGGAGAAAGGACAGCTCAGGGTCGAACAGAAGTGAAAACAGAAGAAAAACAGAGTGCGATGGAAGGAGAGTGGAGGGGGCACGGAGAGAGAGATCCAGAAAGATTGGAGAATGAGTGTGAGCGAGGGAGATCAGGAAAAAGGAGACAAAGAAGAGAATGAATTATTGTTCTCGAGAAAAACTACAGAAACTCTTCTCTCCCTCAGGATTATCAGCCTAGATTTTGAGCTCTACATCTCAACGTGGGGCCTAAACCTTCTGACCCTGAGGCCACAGTGTTATTGACTAAGCCAATAAGGCAATTCTACCAAATGCAAGGATGAATATTATTATTATTATTATTATTATTATTATAGTAATGCCCACTAAAGGATAGAGGAGACCTGTAGCTCAGTGGTTAGAGCACTCACCTCGCAAGCGAGAGGACCTGGGTTTGATTCCCGGGCAGGATGAAGCATTGGGCAAGTTTCCTTACTGCACACGCCTCTGTTTACCCAGCAGTTAGTAGGAACCCGATTGTTTGTCAATCGGTGGATCGCTTTTCTCGGGGTAATAATCCCTCAAAAAGGAAAAATAATAATAATAATTTGGTCACTCAATCCACGACTGGTTGTGTGACGCTGCTGTGTGCAATTGGTTCCCGCTTTTCACCGACAAAATATACAGTCAATTCACTTTCGATTTGAGATGTTTCAAAGACACACTACAACAAATGCAAGGATTATTATATTATTAGAGGATTGGGCCGGGATCTGTAAACCTTCACTCGCCATTTCTCAGGGCTCTGAAGAACCAGGAAATAAATGCTATGCCTCACACTGTTTGATTGCGGGTTAATTCTCACTCACCTGCTACAGCTTTCTTCGTCCTCCCTTTCTTTCCCTTTCTTGCTTTCTTGGGAGGCATCTTCCTTCAAACGTGGAAAGTCAAAGTGTCTCAAAATGAAGCTGAGTCACATATGTTTGGAGAGAGAGAAAGTAATATCTGTCAGGTTAGCAGAAACTCCACTGCCATTTATTCATGTTTTCTGTGACATTATTGCTCATTCATAGCAGCTTCGCTCAACAGTTTGTAAAAGGAAGTGACCTGGTCAACTAATATCATTCAGTCTGTTATTCTCTAAGCTAGTGCCATCGTCAATATTTGTTTTAATTGTTTCTATCTTGGAAGTACTCCTCCCTTTAATTATTTAATAAATGAAACTGCAAAACACAAGAATATTATTTAAAAAGAAGACAATCGCCTCCACATTGTTAATGAATAACCACTCAGGTTAAAGAAAAAAGAAACGTAGGCAGAATGTTAATGACTAAAAGTGATCAAAAAGGTCAACTGTTATGTCTATTATATCTGTGTGGAGCCCTGAAACTTAGGGGTTAGAGCACTTGCCTAGCAAGCGAGAGGACCTTGGTTTGATTCCCAGGCAAGGTGAAAAAATCTGTGTGCAGTTTTGGTCTCCTTATTTAAGGAAGGATGTACATGCCTTGGAGGGTTGTGCAGCGTAGATTTACTAGGTTAGTACCAGGGATGAAGGGGATGTGTTACGAGGATAGGCTCACCAATTTTGGCCTATATTCTCTAAATTATAGAAGAATTAGAGGGGATCTTACTGTAACCTATAACAACAACAACAAGATTTCATTTATAGAGCGCCTTTACGTCGTGAGGACGTCCCAAGGCGCTGGACAGTTGGGTCAGGACCCGAGCCTTGGGGGGAAATGGTCAGGGTGAGGGGAGGGAAGGGAGGGAGCGAGGAAGGGGTAGAGAGTCGAGAGGGGAGCTGAAGGCTGAAGGTCAAAGAGAAAGGTCTTGAGACCGACCTTGAAGGAGGAAAGGGAGGAAGCGGCGAAGGCACTGGGAGATGGAGTTCCAGAGCCTAAATCATCAAAGGCATGATAGAGAAGATAGTGGGAAATTGGTTCCCCCGATTGGAGAAACTAAAACCAGGGGTCACAACCTTAAAATCAGAGGCAGCTCTTTCGCACTGAGTTGAGGAAGAACTTCTTCACTCAAAGGGGTGAATGTATGGAACTCACTACCCCAAAGGGCTGTTGACGCTCAGTCCTTGAACATATTCAAGACTGAGAGAGATAGATTTCTTATTGCAAAGGGGATTAAGGGATATGGGGATAAGGCAGCGTCAGGTTATTAGCTGGAGTTAGATTAGAAGATCAGCCATGATTGAATGGCGAGGCAGGCTCGAAGGGCCAAATGGCCTCCTCCTGCTCCTACATGTTATGTTATTAGGCAAGTTTACTTCCTCCACATGCCTCTGTTTATCTAGCAGTAAATTGGATGTTAGTCAATTAGCGGATCACTTTTCTAGGGGTAATAATCCCTTCAAAAAATAATAATAATAATAGTTTGGTCACTCAAACCACGACTGTTTATGGGATCTGCTGTGTCTAATAGGTTGCTGTGTTTCGCCCACAAAATATACAGTCAATTCACTTTACAGTATATTCTGTGAAGCGCTTAAGAGTCGTCTCGAAGATGTAATAAGGTGCTATACCAAATGCAAGGGTTATTATTATATCTGTTATAAATACTTATTGCTAAGCAGAAGGAGAAACACACAATTTACAGATTTATCTTTCAAAAATTACTTATAAAATAAACGTGTAAATCAAACATAGACATTTTTAAACACAGAAGGAGAAGATTTGGCACAAAATAAATAAAGAACTATCAGGAATTACTGTGTGGCTGCGAGACTGAAATCTTCAGCTCCTCGGGCTCCAACTTCCGTGTCTCTGATTGACGTGTCAATTCACCAATCCCGACGCGGCTGTGAACGCTACCAACATCAGTAGCCGAATGAGCGCGGTGCAGGGGCGGGGCGAGGCGGAGTGTTTGGCGTTGCTAGGCGCGTTGCCAGGAAACGGAAGCTTGCCCGGGAAGGCGGCGCCATGTTTGATACTGGCAGACGCACCAATCCCGACGATAAGTAAACTCGGTCCATTAATAAAGCGTCGCATTCTTAGCTTGGAATGTATGAAGATTACAGTAGTTTGCTTCATGTGGTCATAATAAATACACGTTGTGGGTATTTTGACTATATTTACGAATGATTTGATGCTGATGTTTAATCCTTTCTTTATCAAAATGGTCTTCTTATTTCTGTTCAGAAATATAAAGAGCTAAAACAGAATAATAATTATTTAATTTAGACATTTGGGAGGAAAAGAAAAAAAAAGCTCGATATCGTCACCCTAACAAGACGAGTTTTTTAAAAACATCTAAATATTAATTACTGGTTTTGTGCCAGTATCAAATATGGCGGCCAAGCGGCACAGGGTGTCCCAGTGCGCAAGTGCGCGCTATGCCCCGCCCTCCCCCCACGTGACCAGACGCTGCGCGAGGCGGCTCCGGCAGTGAGCGCGAGTCAGTCACCGAGAGCCGCAGCCCCGGGCCTCCCCCCCCCTCCCCCCACAGCAGTCTGACCGTCGCCTCTCGGGCTTTCCACCGGGGTCGCAGCCGATGGCGGCGGCGGCTGTGCGCGGCGCCAACGCCAGGAAAGCGGGCGGCCTGATCGGGCTGGTGAAGGACGCCTTCCAGCCGCACCACCAGCAGCACCAGGCGGGTGTGGTGGACAAGCGCGCGGTGGAGAAATGCTGGAAACTCATGGACAAGGTAGTGAAAGGCCTCGAGTGCCCCCCCCCCCCCCCCCGGGAGAGGACACAGCCTCCGAGCGCCTCCCGGGGCTCCCCTCAGGCAGCCGCGCACTGGGCCGCGGAGCTCTGGGCTCAGCCCCGGGATACCGTCGGCTTCAGAAGGGAAGGGAGCGGAAGCCAACCCGGGCTCCGAGCCCTGAGACAGACCCTCAGCCTCTCTCTCCCCATCTGAGTAATAATAATAATAATCCGTACATTTGATACGGCGCATTGTCAAGTATTCGAGACGTCTCAAAGCGCTTCACACAATCTACTATAAAGTGTAGTGACTGCATATTTTGTGGGCCAGACGCGGCAGCAAATTGCACACAGCAGCGTCCCACAGACAGTCATGGGTTGTGTGACCAATTTATTATTATTATTTTTTGAAGGGATTATTACCCCTGGAAAAGCAATCCACCGATCGACTAACAACGGATTCCTAATGACTACTGGTCAACAGATGTACTGTTGAGTGAGTTTGTTTTGACATTAAAAGCACTTAATGCAAGGGAGGCTGGAGCGTTGGAGAAAGGTTGGGCGAGGGACAGCTTCCATTGCGATAACATTCACTGGCAACTGTCACAAGCATGATAATGGTTCATTTGAGAATTGGATGGGTTAGGTTTACCCCTAAAGTAAATGTCTAAGCTTTACAATTCAATCAACTCATGCATCTGGAAATCACACTTAACGAGTCCTGTAGCTCAGTGGTTGGAGCACTCACCTGGTAAGTGAGAGACCTGGGTTAGATTCCCTGCAGGGCGAAATGTTGGGCAAGTTTCCTTACTCCACATGCCTGTTTATCTAGCAGTAACTAGGAGTCTGGTTGTTGGTCAATTGGTGGATCGTTTTTCCATGGCAATAATTCCTTCAAAAGAATTGGATTATTATTATTAACTTGTATTAGACAGATTAAAATATTGTCACACTATCCATATGTGATTAACATATTTAGTAAATGCTGTTATCACATTGTACTCACAGAATGTGTCAAAATGAGTTGCAAATTGTTGGTTTGGTTATAGTCAAAATAAATTAAACCTTCTGCACCGCATTAACTTTTCTCCTTGAATATGATTGTAGCTAATTGTATTCCTTAGTTCTAAGTGATCTGTATGTGGTCATTCTTATGACAGAAGTAATATTGTCATAGAAACAGCAATTTTCTGCACAAAAGGGGTTATTTGTGTCTGCCATAATGGGCCAATGCACTCGACGTCCAATGGCCAGCTGCCTACCATGTGTTCCGGTGTATTTTATGTTTTACTCTTCGCATCAATTAAGCATCTCAATGCAATTGTTCATCTTGTTTATCAGGATTATATGGTGGATACTGGAATGGTTCAGAGCGCCCTGCACTGAGGTGTAAGTCTTATCCGGTTGTAAAGGTTTAACTGAATTTGGACTAGGTCTTATTTGTTGAAAGGCGCCATAACTGATGTGTGATGTGTGTCTGCTTGAAAGTAGGTGTCTGATGTATTCAGTGGTTTTGTGGATTGCTCTTTATGCCAGTAGTGCATCAAGTTGGTCCCGTGTCTAAAGTGAATGTTACTGCTGACTGTCTAATCATTTAATAACTATGTATTACTAACACAGTAATATAATGGTTTGTGGAAGATCTGCTATCTCTCTGTTTCAGGAAGCTGCTCTTTGTGTTTAGGGCTGAATTTACAGAAGTGTAAAAGCAGAAGTCAGGCTACATTCAAAACGCCTTTGACTTTTAAAGTATAAATTTCTGTGTCAAGCTGCTGAATCCATATCTCAGCTGTACAGCCAACCAATGTTCAGTTATAACTGTTCACAGGCTGCTGAGTCCATTTGGTTTGGGTTTGTCACTGCGTTTGGTTCCAACAAAAATGACAGCAAATGAATGCTGGTGATACCAGACTGTTCACTTCAAACAATCAACACCAACAGTCCAACCCAAGGCACCCCCCCAGCCAACACCCTGGTCTGTGTCGGCATTCTGGGGCACCCCCCTGCCAACACTCCAACCCAGGGCACCCCCCAGCCGACACCCCAACCCAGAGCATCTCCAGCTGACACCCCAACCCAGGGCACCGCCTCCCAACACCCCAACCCAGGGCAACCCCTAGCCAACACCCTGGTCTGTGTCGGCATTCCAGGGCACTACCCTGCCAACACTTCAACCCAGGGCACCTCATGCCAACACCCCAATCCAGGGCACCCCATGCCAGCATAGCTTTGCGCAATTGACTGCCGTATTTCACCCACAAAATACACTCAATTCACTTTACATTCTGTATATTCTGTGAAGCGGTTTGAGAAGTCTCGAAGACACGATAAGGTGCTATATAATAATAATAATAATCTTTGCATTTGATATAGCGCTTTTCAAGTTGGGAGGACGTCCCAAAGCGCTTCACAGAATACGCTGTAAAGTGAATTGACTGTATATATCAAATGTAAGGATTAGTATTAGCACCCCAACCCAGAGCCCCCCACTGCCAACACCCCAACCCAGAGCCCCCCACTGCCAACACCCCAACCCAGAGCCCCCCACTGCCAACACCCCAACCCAGAGCCCCCACTGCCAACACCCCAACCCAGAGCCCCCCACTGCCAACACCCCAACCCAGAGCCCCCCACTGCCAACACCCCAACCCAGAGCCCCCCACTGCCAACACCCCAACCCAGAGCACCCCCCTGCCAACACCCCAACCCAGAGCACCCCCCTGCCAACACCCCAACCCAGGGCACCCCCCTGCCAACATCCCAACCCAGGGCACCCCCCTGCCAACACCCCAACCCAGAGCCCCCCCCTGCCAACACCCCAACTCAGAGCACCCCCTCTGCCAACACCCCAACCCAGAGCACCCCCCTGCCAACACCCCAACCCAGAGCACCCCCCTGCCAACACCCCAACTCAGGGTACACCCCTGCCATCACCCAAACCCAGGGCACCCCCGCTCCCAGCCATCACCCAACCCAGGGCAACCCCTGCCAACACCCCAACCCAGGGCACACCCCTGCCAACACCCCAAGCTAGAGCACCCCCCCAGCCATCACCCCAACCCAGGGCAACCCCTGCCAACACCCCAACCCAGGGCACACCCCTGCCAACACCCCAAGCTAGAGCACCCCCCCAGCCATCACCCCAACCCAGGGCAACCCCTGCCAACATCTCAACCCAGGGCACACAATTTTGTTCAGTGGTTCCCAGGTGTGATGATGATTCTTATTCTTACTTTAAAACCCAAACCTGAACATGTTGATGGACAGGGCACTGCTGAGGTCATTACTAATGTACGACAGCAAGCCATAAAGTTGAGTTTGTAATGAAGTACTGGCTCTGCAGGTATGCAAATGTTACCTAATCTTTTCATAACAAGGGTTGCAATACTATTATAACTGGAAACTATTATTTAATTGAGCAGAATTTGGAAAAGCTTTATATTAAGCAGAAGCTGTTTAATATAAAGTAGCTCAGTGGTTAGAGCACTCGCTTTGCAAGTGAGAGACCTGAGTTCAATTCCAGGCAGAGGGCGAAACCTCGGGCAAGTTTCCTTACTCCACACAGAGCCTAATAATAATCCCTCCAAAACCAAAACCAATAATAAATTGGTCATTTTCAATCTACGACTGTTTGTGGGACATTGCTGTGCGCAATTGGCTGCCGCATTCGCCCACAAATATAGAGTCAATTCACTTTACAGTGTGTTCTGTGAAGCGCTTTGGGACGTTCTCCTGACGTGAAAAGCGCTATATCAAATGCAAGGATTATTATTATTAAGCATGACAAAGTTTTGATAGTGATGACTAAAATTTTAAAGTATATTTGGTTATAAAATCCTAAATTATTTGGTTAATCTGTGTTTGTCCAATATATTGTCCTGGCCACCACCCCCTCAGCTGGGTCTTGGAGACGACACTGTTGCGAAGGATATTGGGTAACTGGAGCCTAATCTAATAGAGAAGATCAGATGATGTCAAAGTATGAGAGCGAATCTGAAGGCTTTTCAAGCAGTCATATGAACACCATGATTAGATTAAGGTTTAACATTGCTCCATGGAACCTTGTTTTTTTAATAAAATCCTTTGATTGTGTGGCATTATTTAGGTCTCACACCATTGCGGTGTTTCCAGTTTCTGTCGACACTCCACACAATGAGATCCTAGAATGATCACTGAGCCAAGATAATGTTTTCTTGTCCAGGGAAGTCGTCAATCGACAATTCCATCAGTAGTGGATCAAAGTCTTTTTGCTCCTGGAGATGAATGGTTGGAGTAGATTGAACCGGGTTGGGTAGGGGTTGATATCTTTGGGTTTTGAGTATCTGCCATGCTCAGAACCCAAAGACTACATAAAAGTTATCATGTTTCACTGAACACATGCTTCCTCTTGTGTGAACTAAACATTACACAACAAAGGGATGGAAGGGAAGCATTGAGGTGATAATGGACAATACATTTTCCCCAGAATATGATCCAGCATGTTCAGGGCGAGCAGGAGTTGTGTCTTGTAACTTGCTGTGAATGACACAGTCCAACACACTCCCAGCTTCCCTCCTGTTGTATCTGTTTGTGCACCACACAGTCATTTTCATTGGAGAACTATCTTCTGCAGCCCTGGCTGTGCTGTAGGCTACAGGAAGTGGTTCTCTGTCGATTTGACGTGTTCCTCATTGCAAGAACCTATTTTAACTTCTTCTCCTGAAATGTTGGAATGGTTCTGAATTAAAAGCTCATGCAGAGCACCAGAATTTCTGAGCGGAATCTGTCATAAGTCCATATTTATATGAGGTTATCTAAAATTCAAGCAGCGAGCAATCTGTGATTGGGGAACCTTGTGTACATTGTTCTGGAGCAGTATTGTTTTCTCTCAACAACTGAGTCTCCATAAAAGCACGAATATCAGAGATGTTGCTGAATCCCAACTCATTCTTTCCTTCAATACCTCACCTCATTCAGCCTCGATCTCTCTCCTACCATCCAAATGCTTTTAAAGCCCAAACTTCATGTCGTCTCATCACTCCTTGTTTCTTTTTTTCTCTCTCCTCGCTTCATCCCTGCTGGATTCCAGAACTCTGAAACTTGGCCTTGGGTTGAATTTTGTCAAGTGGTTTCCAAATAGGAAATTCAGCACTTTGTCATTATCGTACCCTCTGCTGTCCCCACTAATTTGTGGCCTCTGTTGGCACTAATACTGTGCAATGCTTTTGTGGAGAAATATTGGTGGAAATTGATTTTCAGCGATGTGACCATGACACTAATAGTGACATCCCAAAAGGGACATCAGTCTCAACTGATTTTCTAGGACTAAAAAGAGGTATTTCAAGTTAGTTTCAGTTGAAAAGTTGTAGTCTGTTTTATAAATAGAACCTGTCTTGGTGAGCAGTGTGATTGATGGAAGCCTCTTGTGAGGCTGAGTATAACACAGTCTAACTTGTGACTTTGCTGCCTCTGCATTATCCGGTCAGCCACACTTGGGGAGTTATTTTTGCACTGTGCTGTTCGCTGTGAAATGTACTATTTATGATATATTCTGAGCTCTTTAGAGCTCGACCAGTTCTGTGTGTAATTCTGTTGTTTCTGGGAAGTGTGGTCAGATTTGTACTTAAATATTCTAGGTCCCTGACCACTCTGACCCTGTATAGCTTTGTGTCATACAATGCAATGTGGCACTCATACAGCTTTGCAGCACACGGACCCTGTCACAAGACTGTGCTGTAGCACATGGGGCACATAGTTCGCTATTGTACTACATGTTACCTCTCTACGCACAGCCTTCACGCCTTGATGTCACCCCACCTGCAATGAGATAATAATCCTTGCATTTGATCCTTGTCTTCAAGATGTCTCAAAGCACTTCACAGAATATACTATAAAGTGAATTGACTGCCAATTTTGTGGATGAAAAGGTAGTTGAGGCCAGAACAATGGGACTCATTTAAGAATTAGCTTGATACTTTAATAATAAGACCTCAGGGTTGGCATTTTAAATAATAATTATCATTGCAGCGTCCATAATATCAAGACATTTCAAAGCTCCTGACGGATAATTGATGTCAAGTGTCATGACTGTGTATTTAGAGCTAAAGGATGAGATCAATTGGGACCAAAAGGCCTACTCCACAAGAGGACAGGAAGATGTTCAGATGAAGATGGAGGAACATTTTGTTGTTGAAGAATATCTACATTGTCCTGAAAATGAGAGTAAAGTTGAAGCTGAATTTATTTATAGTCCATGTACAAATGTAAGTACAGTATAATTTGCACCTGGGACGTCTCATTGTTTTCTTGCATATCAGAACCAGGACTGCAATTAACTGGAACATTCTGTAACTAAAGGAAATAATGAGCTGTTTTGGTGAACTAGTTATTTCATAAAACTTGTACAATTGCAGCAGCCTCTCCTAATGTTTAGCCACACTACCCCCCGCTGACACAGTCTGACGCATTGACTAGAAATCTGTTCTAGTTCTGAAATTCTGATGTGAGAGGCGCTATATAAATGTAATTTGTTGATGTTCTGTGTGATAAGTTTTTACTTTGCAGGTTTAGGCCTTAGATGTGCTTGCTCCTCAGGCCCTGTACTAACCCTCCATTCTTTCCATCTGCACGTGAAAACAGCTAATTCCCAGCCAGGCAAGCTATGTATAGCTTTGCATGGTTTTAAGATCTGAAGATGCCAAGGTGCCAAGTAGTCTTGTCTCATTGTCTTGTCCTTTGGAGCTGGGTGCTACCTTGAGGTAGACCCTCCATTCCTCCCAAAGTGACACTTGGCCATTTCTCAGCTCATGAGCTCCCTACATTTCATTCTGTAATCCTGCTGGGGCTTGTTGCTTTAGTAGTCTCTGTCTGGGCATGTTGAGGTTCTGAGGTGAAATTAGCTGGAACATACTGTAACTGGCATTTTTGCTTGAATAACTCGATTGTTGCAGCTTTAAGAAGAAATGGTCCAGTTTTTGTATCCTGACAGCTGTGTTGCCAGTCTCACAATTCGGTGTGTGAATGAGAATGAAGTTATATTATTTTAATGCAAAATACATCAACTGCATTAATCTTTTCAACAGTAGAAATCCTTTGGAAAAGTTAATTTGCCCCGAGCCTGTGAGGAGCATGGCATGTACTGTACTGGTTCAGTTCCAGTTATGATGGAAATTGGCACAGGGTGTTTTGACACCAAATAACCTATCATTGATCCTCTACTCTGCTCAGTTCACCAGCAGTTCCCTTTTTAAAAAACTGAAACAATGACAAAGAATTGTTTTTTGGCTTTACAGAGGTTAGGTTAACTATTTTGAATAAATTTGCTTTAGCAATGAGTGCTGACATGTTGGGAGTTACCGATTTAAGGAAGCTGGAGTCATATTATCAGCAATGTGTTCATTATCTTGAGGTGCTTCAGTAATTGTTGTTTCAGCTCTGAATGTCTATGAATTCCCCCTTTCTCCTCAACCACCACCCGCTTTCACTGTCCCAGCTGGGTGCATCTGATTTCTCTTCCCTCAGTCCTGGGACCATTTATACAGAGCTCTTCGCGACTAGAGCGGCAGCTGATATCAGCTGACCAGCTGTATTGTTGGTTGCAGATCAGAAATGGCAGCTTTCCAAGTTTCTGTAAAAGGAAGAGGACGTAACTTTTTAAAACTTAAATGGGGGCAAGGAGCGAATGTTCAGCTTGGCTCAGTTAGTAGCACTCTTGCTCACCTGAGGTGAGGGTTGAAACTCACCCTCTTGATCCAGCAAGCGTGCTACCAACTGAGCCAAGCTGAACATTTTCTCCTTGCCCCCTTTGAGCTCCAAGTCTAGATTGAAGTGCAATGCTGGGGGCAGCGCTGAATTGTTGGAGGTGCTGTCCTTCGAATGAGACATTAAACTTTGTTCCTGTTTGTCCTTCACTTAGTGACTGAGTGGAATCTTGCTCTACACAAACTGGCTGTCACCTTTTCCTAATTTTGATACAGTTTTGATAATTATTGTGAAGTGTTTTGAAATGTTTTAATATTACGGGCGCTGTAGCAGATGCAAGAATTATTACTTCTGTCCCAATCACTTCTACTTTTTAAGTAGTGTTCACCACCATTATTCCTTTTTGAAAAAAATTGAGCAGTGACAAAGTCCTGTGGTTTATTTTTGCTTTGTTTTTTTACACAGAGATGGAAAGATCTGAAGACCTGAATTTAATGGTTGTTCTATGTGTACTCCGGTTAATTCCTTGCCCTTTTGTTACTTTTCTCATCAGTTCCTGAATGGTGTATCTGCTGAGTTTATTATAAGTCAGTCAGTTTTCCTTCACCTTCTCTTAATTATGTCCTTTTTCTTCCTGATGTTAGTGGCTCATTCTGCCTCTTCCACCAGAGCCCAAATACTAATTGTTGGCACCTAGCTTAAATCAGGTAACAGCTCAGACCTGAGCTATTCCTAGCCCAGTTGCTCCATGTCACACTGCAGGCTAATTATTATTAATAGACTTTGCCCTTTCCTTTGATTGACTACTAGAGTCCTGTAGCTTAGTGTATGAGCACTTGCCTCGCAAGCGAGAGTGACCTGGGTTCAATTTCCGGGCAGGGCGAAATGTTGGGCAACTTTCCTCACCCCACACACCTCTATTCACCCAGCAGTAAGTAGGAACCCGGTTGTTAGTTGTTTGTCGAATTGTTTTTCCGAGGCTAATAATCCCTTAAAAACATTTTGATCACTTAATCCACGACTATTTGTGGGGCATTGCTGTGCCGAATTGGCTGCCACGTTTCGCCCACAAAATATACAATCAGTTCACTTTACAGTATATTCTGTAAAGCGCTTTGAGACGTCTCGAAGATGTGATAAGTCGCTATATCAAATGCAAGGATTATGATTATAGTGCCATGTTGGATATTGGGCACATTTCTAATGTGTTGCTTGATCACTTGTTTTCTATTGCTTTAGGTGGTGAGACTGTGCCAAAATCCTAAGGTGGGGTTGAAGAACAGTCCCCCGTATATCCTGGATCTACTGCCTGACACTTACCAGCACCTCCGTGTCATCCTGTCTCGCTACGAGGGCAAAATGGAGGTGCTGGGAGAGAACGAATATTTCAGGGTTTTTATGGAGAATCTGCTGAAGAAAACCAAGCAGAGCGTTAGTCTGTTTAAAGAAGGCAAGGAGAAGATGTACGAGGAGACCTCTCAACCAAGGTAATGACCCTTTTTTTTAGCTGTTCTATACTTGAGACCTTTAATTTGTATGTATTTTATTTTTATTGATTTCATTTGAAACCCATTCTTGAATGTTGTAAATAATAAATTCAGCATCCACACTTCAACCTGCCATTCGTGAATGCATGTGGAAGATATCTGGACATTAAAGTCTAATATAGTAATTGGGACAAAGCTGTGTCTCAGTAGCAGTACTACTACAGTATATCGGGAGTTGAGTGCTGCTTTGCTTTAGTGCTGGTTTTTCACCTTTTGGATCCAGGTTTAAACGCTGATGGAATTATTTTCTCTTCTTGGTTGGGAATGGAAAAGAAACGAGCTGGAAAGTGGGATTCATATAAACAACAACAACTTGGATTTATATAGTGCCCTCCACGCCAGACGGCGTCTGAGAGCGCTTCACAGCAATGGATCCCGGGACCGAGCCAGGGGGAGGGGGAGGAAGATGACCAAAGGCTGGGTCGAAAAGAAAGGTCTTCAGAAGGGACCTGAAAGTGGGAAGAGAGGGGGCGAGGCGAAGGGAATGAGGAAGGGAGTTCCAGAGCCTCGGGGCATAGTGGCTGAAGGCACGGCTACCGAGGGTGGAGCAGAGGACTCGGGGGACGAGGAGGAGGCCAGTCCCGGAGGAGCGAAGGCAACGGGTACTGTTTTGGGGAGAGAGGAGGTCAGAGAGGTCGGAGGGTGCAGAGGAGTGCAGGGACTTCAATACAAGGGTGAGGATCTTGAAATGGATCCTCTCTGGGATAGGCAGCCAGTGCAGTCTGGCCAGGACTGGGGTGATCGGGGAGCAGAGTTTCGTGCGGGTGACTGTGGAAGGGTGACTGTGAAAAAAAATAGCACTGACTCAGGCATGAGGGGCCGATGGCCTCTTCCTGTGCTGAAAATTTCTGTTTCCTTGTTGAATTAATTGACTATTGAAGATGTGACTTTAGGGTTTGCAGTGTACAACAACGACAACTTGCATTTGTATAGTGCCCTTTTGATGGGGTAGCGTCCCATAGCTCTTGACAGTGGTGGAGTCTGACATTGAGCCAGAAAAGAGAGAGGGATGAGGTGACCGTAAGCATGATCAAAAAGGTCTTTAGGCAGCATTTGAAAGTGGGGAAGGATTGAGGGAGAGAGTTCCAGAGTTTTGGGGCACAGTGGCTGAAGGCACGGCCACTGATGGTGGAACAGAGGGGACGAGGGACAGGAGGCTGGAACCGGCTGGAGCCAGTGTAGCCCCAAACATAAGGAGCCTGCTTAGTGTTTCTTTGGAAAACGGTTGTTAATCTGCAGTTGAGTGTTCCTTATAGCTCCACCATTTCTATAGGTTCAATCTATAAAATATCGGAATTATTTCAACACCATCAGCTTTCTTTAGCTGTAGACAACCAATTCACGTCATATCCCCCAATAAACCTAATGTATAAAGATCCTGTTGACACTAGCCAGTATTTGGCCAGTGCCTGCTGTCACTGATCATCTTCACACACTGGCAAAGCCAAACAAACTGTCCTAACTCACATTCTCAAATTGGCTGTGTGTAACAGTTGCCACAGCAACCAGGATAAAAGGTTGGCCTTGTAGTAAATTAACTTTTAATAATCTCAGCCTTTGTGCCATTGGTTTATTAATGCATAGAATCTCTTAAATAGACGGCTGCCCGGATTGGGAATCTGATTAGGGCAACATCTTTGGCTTTGATCGAAGTCATGTCCTTTTTTTCTAAACAAGGAGAGTTCTGATGGCATTGGAGTGGACCTGTGGATTTCCGTAATGCTAATTTGATTTGTTTGATATTATATAGGCAGATGGGTACTAAGACAGGTTTCTGTGCTAGTGTGTAGGAGTGGGAGATAAAACAAGGTCCAGGTGTTTATTGAAGCTTGTGTTTGACCACCAGATTCCAGTCATTTCTGGAGAGAAGTGCATCTCTGGGTTATCTTAGTTTATACAGAAAAAAAGAGGAAGTCTATGTCTGAAATTATATGATCAGTGATACTTCTTTTGTGAAGTTGGAATGTGCTAAGGATTAATAGTTTATTAAACCGATTTTCTGACTGTAGATTGATTGGAACTCAGCCCCTAATCCCTAAAGTCTCAGGCATCATCTTAAACAGTTTGGGAGTTTGGAAAGTTTACAGATCACATGGCCATTTGATCCATTGTGTCTGTGTTGGTGCTAACTCACCCAGTGGAGCGGCAACTCTAATCCCAGATTCATCCTGATCTTTTCTCCCACCCCTTTCAATATCTTTGCACACGTATTTTTCTTAACTTCCCTTCTAAAATGTAGTTATGGTTTCCAATACTATTTGACAGCCATTTGTGGTCAACCACACCATGTTCTAATAATTCCTCTGTGAAAAGTTTGCAGTGTACTCACATGTTCTAATGTGACTTGTTCAGTTTGTGTATTAAAGAAAATATTGTTGCAGAATCTCCGGTTACAATCATTTCAAAGTCTTATCTTAAAACAAAGAAGTTTGATACCTTAAGTCAAAATAATAATATTCCTTGCATTTGATACAGTGCCTTATCACATCTTCCAGATGTCTCTAAGTGCTTAAGAACATAAGAACACAATATACTGTAAAGTGAACTGACTGTATATTTTGTGGGTGAAATGTCCCGCAACAGTTGTGGATTCAGTTTATTCTTATTTATTCTGAAGGGATTATTATCCCCGGAAAAGCGATCTGCCAATCAACTAACAACGGGGTTCTTACTGCTAGCTAAACAGAGGCATGTGGCGTAAGGAAACTTGCCCAACATTTCGCCCTGTCCGGGAATCGAACTGAGGTCCTCTTGCTTTCGAGGCAAGTGCTCTAACCACCAAGCTACAGGACTCCAAAATGGGTTTGAAGCTTTGGAACTTTCAAAATGGCATGTGCATCTAACAGAGCTTCTGCAAATGTGTTCAGCTAGTCATTGTGTGGAGGGGAAATGGATATTTGGAGAAATTGGATCACTGTTGTCTATGCTATTTGTATGAAAAGTTCTAATTATAGTGGTCCACTTCCTATGGATCCCCATTATAGTGAGCTGTTTGAAATGGCTCCATTTTGAATCCGATGGATATAAAACAAGCTGGTAACCCATTTACACTGTGCAGTTTGTGACGTTTATATCTGGGCTGGATCTGTCCCCAATGCCATCTATTTTTGACCATGGGCGAAAAAAGCATGTGAGTGAATTGGATTTGATGTGAAAAACTAGTGTAAAGGCTGGTGTAAAGGAGGGATGGATTGCCAGACCCCACAGAGCCAGTAGGATCCCTGCTTTCCGGCCCCTCGTAGAGCCACAGTTGAAGAACCTGACCTATATTGGCCTGAAACCAAATAATTAGACTTGTGCTTTGCATACTTAAGGTTTTTCAGAACATTTGCTCACTTGTAGATTTTGCCCTGGAATTTATTCTTGTTAATTCTATAGTTTGGGATTTTTTAATCAGATCTGTGTATGATCTCCACATTCTTTGTGTGTTGCTCTGCTTCTCTCACCTCACCAGTGGCCAAAGTGTGCCTCCGCTCGACTGGCTCTGGCTTCCTGCATGTCTCTCGTGCTCTCCATTCCATGGTGGCCTGAAACTCTGGAACACTCTTTCTTTATCTCTCCGCCTTGTCCCTTCCTTCCCCATCTTCAAATCGCGCCTGAAGACCTTCTTCATCGACCTTGCCTACAGTCACCTCCCCCTGGCTCTGTGTCGTAATCTGCTACTGTCAATAATAATAATAATCCTTGCATTTGTCAAGCGTTCTAGGACACTATATAAATGCAAGTTGTTGTTATTGTTGCTTATGTTTCCTCCTCTTGCCTGTTTCCTCTGTGCTCTGAGAATTTATTTTAGTGCTCTCCCTTCTTTGATGAGCTCTCGCCTGTCTCTTACATCACATATCTTGTCCAGCAAAGCAGTTTCCGTTAGTTGAGCTTCTTTGGAATTACTATACTTTGGCTGGTTAGAAATTAATTGCTCTTTTTTCCCTTCCCCTCCCTCATTCCCCCCATCCTAAGTAAGCTATCAGCGCAGTGTGCACAGAAAGATATTTGCCCCTGTAGTTATTGACTATCAATAGGAAGGGCAGTGCAGCCCCAGGAAGGGCTGTATGAAATGTGCTTCAAAACCCAGTCAGTGAGGGATGTTGTGAAATCTCTCAGAAGCCAGTTTCTGCTTTCTAATTTCAATGCTAAGTTACTGTTTGTGGTTAAAGTAAGACGGAGGAGGGGGAGTAAAGTCATTTGGGGGTATACAGTATATCTCAGATGCCAGTTTTTGCTCTCTAGGTTAGCTTGTTGTTTGATATTTAGAGCGCGTTTAGAATAGTTTGCCAGGGTACCTGAAGAAATTCAGATATTTTAAAGCACGACTGGATTGACTTTCAGATCCTCATCCTTATCTTTACATGCCTTGATGGACCCGCTGCACTATATCTCTGATCTTCTGCGACACTATTCCCCCAGCTATCCGCTCTACCAACTTTGGCCTGCTTCACGTTCCTTGCCCTCCCCACCCCCAACTTTCAGCCACTTTAGTCCACCTTCAAGAATTCTCTTCTGGTATGCCTCCATTTCACTCCCTTTCTCTGCTTTCAAAGCCTGTCTAAAGATCTATCCCTCTGACAACACATGTGGCCATCTTCAACTCTGTATCTGTAAAGTGCTTTAAGATATTCTCCCTACATGAATGATGCTACAAGAAGTGCAATTTGTTGTATCTCAGATGTAATTTTTCCTAGTGAAAGCTAAAATGTTAGTCCATAAATATCACGTCTTACAATAGTTGTCAACTTGTTTGATTGTGAGACATCACTACATCAGCTTGCGATGTATCTCCTGATATAAACAAGTCTGATCTGTTCTGGATCCACTCTCTCTTGGGGTAACCACAGATCCTGCTGAATGAGTAGCTTGATCTATTCAATAATATCTTAAACCCATTTTGTAAAAGCAACCTTTATTTTTCCAGTCAAGCTAAATGTTTCTGGATTGAAAAATAC